TTGCACTAACGAACAATAATAAACGCATCGACCTAAAAAAAAACTAAATCAACATAAGCACTGACGCAGCATAAAAGGCATAACAAAAGTAAAACGTCAATGCCAACAGTAAGGTATCAGTAAATGCAAAAAAATCTACCAACGGCAATATCGATTAATGACAACAACATACGACGACATCTACAACAGTAACATCTATAACGATGATACCTACAAGCGACAAAACCAACAAGCAAGACAAACGTAAATGCATATAAAAAGTTAGATTAGTAAAAAAAAAAAAAAATACCAATACAAATAAAAAAAAATCCTTATCTGTTATCTGTGTTAAACACCATAGGTATTGCTATATGTTTGCATTAATTAATATTATTAAATCAATTACATCGATGAAACAAAAATAAAAAGCAGCCAAATCTTTTACTATAACTATTCGCTTATTTTAACTATTCGAATTATGATTATACCCTTTTAAGTAAAAAAATAAATAAAAAGTTTAAACATTGGAACTCTAAAACGTAGTGCAATAGTAAATATTTATAAAATAGCTTATCTTAGACTAAATTTGAATATTAAATTGATATAAAAAATTCATGCTTATAAACTAAGTAAATTAAATTATAGTAGTAGGCCAGCTCTTTGAATCCGGGTTCCTGTCTTGTTAATAAAAACATATTAGAATTTGAAAAAGAAAAAAGAGGTTAAAGTACTAACCCAATTAAAAAATGAATATAAATTTCTGTGTTTTTTGGGTCTCATTTATCTTTTTTAAAATCGTGGATTATAATGGGAGGTTGGTGGATTATAAATCTAGAGACTTTCTATTTCAAATGTATATATCGTTTGACTATGAATGGGTATTACGAAACTGCAAAAAAATTTAGCTGTGAAAAGATTATCGTGAGCCAATCAAAGCTCAGTAGATCGTTCTAAAATGTTCTAGAATCGATTTCCATTTTTGGGAAAATCCCAGACTGTACTAGGAAAATTTGTAGCATTGTTAGACCGGAGCATATTATATGATGATCATCTCATTACACAAATGCGTGAATATGCATGTTTTGTTACACTAATTTAACAAATTTGAACACGCGTGCGGACAGACAAAAAATTTCCAAATTATAATCTTCATAATGCTTATGCAGATGCATCAAAAAAGCAACTTTTTGGGGTGAAATGTATCAAAAACATAATTTTTGTATCACTTAATATGTAAAAATCGCTATGCTCCAGCCAACCATAACCCATAACAAAAAAATCATGTTATGGGGGCAACAATAATATTTATTCTTATCAAATTTTAATAATATTTGAATGTTTTGAATTTATTCTTTTATCTAATAACCAATTATAATTATTCTATTATCACCCATAACTGAAATATAACATAACTCGCTTTACTGTTACCAACTTGGTTACAAATATAATTGTAGATCTGTAAAGTATGTTCAAAAGTAAATTTATACCAATCGCATATAGGGCAATTTAGGATAATTTGAAACAATTTAGGAATTATAAGATATACAAAAACAAATCTTTTTATTTTAGAAACCAACTTTACTATCAAGAAACATTTATCGTTATTATGTTGTTAGTTTAAAGAATGTGTGTCAATTTAAAGGCTAGCAAAAATTTGACAGTTCCATGATTTTTGAGATCATGAACCACTAAATTGGGCTTGTGCATAGAATTATATCTCATGAAAAAGTTAAATATACAATCATTAATTGATATTGAATCTTAACGATCCATTTACTTGCATATAATATTTTTGATCTACATTTAAATAGATTATATATATGTGTTTAAAATAACTTCACATGTGACAAATCTGTATCATGTTACATAAATAAAAAAAGTTTTTTTTTTTACCTATATACTTCTTTGACTTATTAAATCTCATTGAACCTCACTAGAAGGGTCTAGTACAACTTACTACTAGAACCTAATATCTTCTAGTTTCATTCAGTTAGTTCTAGTAATCCTTCCAGTTCCAGTGAAATTCACTAGACCAGTCTAGCAACAACACTGGTCTATAATATTTGCTTGTCTGAATTAATTATCTGCGAAATAAACCTAGTTTGTGAATTAATTGTCAGTAACTAACGTTTGTCAGTAAGTTGATCGAAACTGATTAATTATTTATTATATATAGTCCCACTAATTATTGAATATTTATTTTATTTATATTTATTTTATTTATATTTATTTTATTTATATTTATTTTATTTATATTTATTTTATTTATATTAATTTTACTCAATTAAGTTTAATTTTATCTAATTAATTTGCAAAAATTCTATTTATACTTATTATTCTACTCCGCTAAACAGGATCTATTATAATTTATTAGTTATATTTACTAGAAGCCTTTTGCAATGCAATTTTTCATCCTGTTTTAGTAATTCCCACCAATTCAAATTGTTTATCATTTAATTTACATATCTGCTTAACTTGAATAGCATGATCTTGAAATTTTAATAAACATACTAAAATTTCTCCATTTGCATTTTTAGCTTTATCCATATTAGTCAAAAATTCTTTAAGTTCGGGAATACATCTTGAAGAAGTTGTTGATTCTTGTGATAAGTTAGACAAAATTGGAAATAGCATAAAATAAGGTTGTGAAGAGATAGAAGATAATAATTGTGAAGAGAAATTTGATGGTATGTATAAAGAAAAATTTGGTAATACTGTTAAGGGAATATTAGAGTAATGCGAAAAAAAATTAGTTGATAGTTGTAGTAAATAATTTAAAAAATTAGATGGCATTTGTGAAGATGGTTGTGAAGGAATTTGTAAGGGCATTTGCATAGGTATTTGTGAGTCTATTTGTGAAAGAAGCATTTGCAAAGACATTTGTGAAGGTATTTGTAAATGCATTTGTGAAGGTATTTGTGAAGATGTCTATGAGGATATTTGTGAAGATATTTGTAAGGATAATTTTAATAGTAGTTGTGAAACTGGTTGTAATAATGGTTGTAATGGAGATTGATTTGAATTAGATATTCCTCTAACTTTAGATGGAGATATAAATATTGTATGACTAGGTGGTGTGTCAATATCTGCTAATCTGTTTATCTAATTGTTTTTAATATGATAAAAATATATAGTATATATTTAATAAATAAATAAATAAATAAATATAAAAAAAACTCCTACAATTGCTCGAGCCCAAGTAGTATAATGCATTCCTGATAGTTTAATATGACCTGTTTTAGTAACCCAACAGGAACCTTCACAATTAGCACTAAAATATTTTTCTTGAAGTTGAGAAATAGTAGATGCTATAATATACTTATCATCATCAAGTTGAGATTCTTTAGGTTTTTTACTAAATAATTGTGGTTTTTTTTTATTTAAATCATTATCACTATCAGGTTCTTCAGATCTCTGAAATAGTATAATAATTAATAGAGTAATAAGAATTTTTTTTAAAAAAAATTAATATTATAAATTATATACCAATCCATGTAATCATTTTTTTGAAGAGTTATTTTGTATTTGAATATTAATAAATACATTCTTTTTTTTATTTGTAGCTTGATTATAATCCTTAGTAAAACTTTTAAAATCCTTTTCATCAATAATTTGAGTTCTTGCCCTAGTTTCTTTTGCTACTTTATATGCTAATACATAATCATTTTTGGTAATAGTAGTATCATTTAGTTGAAGTTGAATATGTGAAGGAATTTGATAATGAAATTTATTACAAGAATTTGCTAAAATATTCAATTGTTTGGCAGATATTGTAACATTATCTTGATTTTTAATATATAATTTAAGTAAAAATTCATTGCTTTTATACTTATTATTCTTGGTATCTAACTTTTCTAACAGTTTATTGAAATCACTATTAGCATTTTCTAAATCTAATTCTTTAACCTTTTTATTTAAAAAATCCAAATTATCACAAACTGGTATATCAGTATTAAAATTAGTATGACCAAATCTGTTAGTCTCTATATTAATATTAAAAGTTGTATGATCATTGAAAGCTATATGATTATTGTTGGTCTCAGATATATTAGTAATATACTTGTTTGTTGCTTGTTTAATAGGTTTAGCTAAATCTGATTTTGTTGATTTAGCTTTACCCATATGATATCATTTGCTATTACATGTTGAGCAAATAGAAACTCTATATTATAATCATATTTTTCTTTTGAATTTTCTAAAGCTTCAATTTGATTGTTATTAAATTTTTTATTATAATGAATTGTAAAAGCATAAGAAACTAATTTTGTATGATTTCTTGTTGTAGGTGATATATTTTTATTACATTCACATAAAAGTTTTAAAGAATCTTCTTTGCAATACAGACATTTTGCACACAGGTAACAAGTACCTATAAGGTATTTAACACTATCTATAATAATTTTATTAATGAAGAAGAAGCTATTTTATATTAGTTTTCACTATATATTTACAAATAAATTCTACAATCATTTACAATTGCATAAAATTATGTATAATCACATACATACAATCATGTGTATATATAATTAATTACAATTGAACAATCAAATCAAATATGTAGTGAATCTACAAATTTGAACAAAGTTACTAGTGTTTGTAGTCGATTTTGCATTAGTCAATAAAATTGGCTTAGCCAGTTTAGTTAGCCGATCTTTCAAAAAATTGACTTAGTCGACTACAATAGGTTATATATATTATATTGAAAATTTAGATCAGTTTATACTGTACTAGAATCCAAAAATTTCCGAAAAGAAAATCAATGAATATAAAATATGAGATAAAAATTTGAGGAATCAAAGTTTAATCAAATAGAACTTGGAATAATCAACTCTGATTTAGCCGGCTAAGCCAATTTTTAAATATCAACTTAGTCAAGTTGATAAATAATAGTCAACTACAAACACTAAAAGTTACATTACTTGCAAATAGGATAAGTAGTTACTAAAAATATCTTTGCTCAAAATTTTTAAAAATACAAATATTTATTATGATAAATTGAAGCTATGCTAAAGTACTTTAGCAACTATCTAATCAAATTTAATAAAGCTTTTTTATTTGAATTCTACATATCATAGAATCAAAAATCAAAAAATTTTATTGAATTTTAATTAAATAGTTACTAAGATATCCTCACTTAAATTTTATACTAATATTATAATAAAATTTATAGTACCCACCTTGATTTTGAAAATATTTTTATGAAGTGATTGTTGCACAATAACAAGATATTTGGAAAATATGTTAAAATTTTGCTTTTTGAAATATTAGCTCAAATAGATAAGAACTTATAGTTACTATATTTTTTTACTTATTGTATTATAAGCGAATTTGTTTTATTTTTAATTTTCTTTAAAAAAAAACTTTGAGCAAAAATTTTTGATAAATTTCTTTTTATTTAAATTTTATGGTTCTATAGAATTCAAATAAAAAAATTTTCATTGAATTTGATTAGCTAGTTTCTTAGATATTTTTGCTCAAAGTTTTAGAAAAAATTTGACACAGCTTAAAGATATTATTAAAAATATAGTCAAAGACATCTTGGCAACCACCTGACCAAATTTAATGAAATTCTTTTTTTTGAATTCTATAGATCTATAGAATTCAATCAAAAAAATTTTCATCGAATTTAATTAGGTGATTGCTGGAATATTTTCACTTAAAGATTAAAGAAATTTTGGCATAGCTTCTATTAATATTTTTTTTAAAAAAAAACTGAGCAATGATATCTCAGCAACTACCTGATAAAATTTAGTAAAGCTTTTTTATTTGAATTTTATATATCATAAAATCAAAAATAAAAAAATTTTATTAAATTTTGATCAAATAGTTACTAAGATATTTTTACTTAAATTTTATACTAATATTATGATGAAAATTCATGATACCCATCTTGATTTTGAAAAGATCAGTCTAAAGTGATTACTGTGCAATAATAAGGTGCTTGGATAATATGTTAAAATTTTGCTTTTTGAAATATTAACTCAAATAAACAAGAACTTGTAGAGTTACTACATTTTTTCACTCTTGTACTACAGACAGATTTGTTTTTTTTATGATTTTTTTTTAAAAAAAAGCTTTGAGCGAAAATTTCTTTTTATTTGAATTCTATACTTCCATAAAATTTGAATAAAAAAAATTTCATTGAATTTGATTAGGTTATTTCTAAGATATCTTCACTCAAAGATTTAGGGAAAATTTGTATAGCTTAGTTAAAAACTTTGTGCAAAGTTATCTTGGCAACCACCTAATCAAATTCAATGAAATTTTTTTCTTTTGAGTTTCTATGGATCTATAGAATTCATATAAAAAAATTCTCATCAAATTGATTAGGTGTTTACTAAAATATCTTTGCTCAAAGTTTTAAGAAAATTTTGGCGCAAATGATAAACATTGAAAAAAAAAAACTATGCGATGATATCTCAACAACTACCTAATCAAATTTGATAAAATTTTTTTATTTGAATTCTATAGATTCATAAAATTCAAATAAAAAAAATATTTGCTAAGAAATTGTTTACAATCATGCACAATCACATACAATTATATACAATCGATTGCAATCGAATGCAGTGACCCACAGATTTTATCAAAAGTTACATCAATTTGTAAACAGCAATAAATAAAGTTTTATATCAGGTTTTCTGTCTTTTGTTTATTATTATTTTTTTTTAGCACCTTTGTATTTACAAACCTTTTTTTTTAAGTTTTTAGGCTATTGTGCTATATATAAAAATTACGTAGAAGATTGAAAAACAAAATTTTGAAATATTTATTATAGAACAAATATTTTTAAAAGTACAGATATAAAGTAAAATACACTCTTTGTGAAAATATTATGAAACTAATTTTGAAAATAATAGCATTCAATATTCATTTTCTTAGAGACTTGTCATGTTTTTTTTTTTTTTTTTTTTTTTTTTTAAATGGTACCTGCTTTATTATCTTCAGTAGTTAAGTGTCTCTTTTTATCAAGATGCACAAGGTTTTATCAGTACAGAAACTTCTAGAAACTATACCCCCACTGACTCTATAACAAGCTCACTCAGCTGCTCTAAAGTGCTCAAGTATGACCATCTAGCTACAAATTTACCTCCTTTTTGGCCCCTAATTTACTAGGAGATTTCCCTCCAGATCAACAGTAGGCCGTGCTCACCTATTTAATTCATATATATCCCGCTATATATACTACTGTACAACATCCACCAGTTATAATCCACCCCTTATCACTTATCACATTACTCCTAATTCGTATCTTGTATAATTTCCAAATTGGTGTCCTAGGAGTGGGTGCTCTTCTTGCTTCCAGTTTGATATTCCTCGAGTATGTTACTTCAGAGCCTAATCCGTATCTCAAGCCAGGTGCTGCCGCTATCCGAAGACCCGTATCTCAAGCCACCTGCTGCCGCCATTAGGAAAGCTATTTATATAGGTTTAGGTATTAACATCATACACCACTTAATTAGGCTACCACCCCTTTTTAAATACTTCCTATTGGTATAGTAATACAGAAGTCTAGATCCTTAGGATGAGAGTTAAGAACCTCATTTAATTACTGCCACAAAGCAGTAACCTGGGACCTGTGCTTCTGCTGTGTTTCGTCATAGACTCCTATATAGGTTGTGCGACTATACTCACTAGCCATCTTTATATTTGTACCACCAGGGTGCTTGCTTCTATGCTTTTCAGGGGTTCTTTTAACCAGTTTTCTTTGTTTCTTCATTGCGCCAGAGGTGTTCCATATTTGGTAAAGCCATTCTCTTACCATAGCCCCTTACTATGTTCACTGCTTCTTTCACCACTTCTGGATATACTGCATACAGCCGTCCTCCCAATCAAGATCCCAATGCTGTCTTAGGATTGTTGGTGCTACCTTGCCAATCGTGGATTCACACATACAACCTTTGCAGTAATACCTTCTGTGACCCATGTCACACATAGTGTCTGATCTTCTCCATGGCTCAGGACTCCTTCCAAGAATTCTTTATTAGCCAAATATATACTTCACATGGTTTTACCACCACAGAGTTCCGCATTCAAAAGCCCCTGCAAGTTACAGAGATAATTAATTCAATTAATTACCACCAGCTATAATTGAACTATCAACCTCGTCTGTGGAGGGTTAGGTGCCTAGACCACTAGGCTATGGGACCCTAACCCTGACTTGTCACGTTTTTTAATTAGACTTGCTATGTTATTTTTAATAAATTTATTATATTTCTTCTTAAATAGAAGAATTATATACTGTATTATTAAAAATTATCCTCTGTGCAATAAAATTTGTGTGCAATTTTATCATATATATTTACAGTATTAACATTATAATGATTCTAAACCCAATTATCACATCATGTGATATAATTGATTGAAGTCAAATCCGCCTATATGTTGTGCAAATTGTCGAATACAGTAATTCAACAAATAATTGGCTACACATGCCACAAAGCAGCATGTGCTCATTTGCCAAATTACCGTTATTTGACCAATATTGTATATATATGATACTATCATAATATTATGTGAAATTTGCAAATCAAAAAAAAAAAAAGAAATTGATGATTTTTGCAGATTTTTTTAACATTTTTTTGCAGAAATAAAAGTTGTAGATTCATAATTTTTGAACATATTTTGATTTAACATCTTTGTAGGAATATAATTCGTCACTTGACCATACAATTCATCAAACAATACATCAAACAAACACTATGAAATACACATATGGAATATTGCCTCACTGCTCATGTGGTTCACAGCTGCTTTCCTAGAATTGAACACTACTGTATTTTCCTGATATCCAACTTGTTTGGTTGGGCTACCACCTGTTCATTTGATATCTGGGTTGTCCACCTGGGCTATCAACACACATTTCCACTAAACTACCTCCCAACTTCCTCCACCTCGAGGTGGGCAGGTGGGTACCCCCAACAAAGCTAGACTTTCATCGAGCTAGCAGCAAAGACAAAAGAGAAAGAACCACCTTCCAAATGAAAATCACTTAAATAGCCACTTTCCATGACCTCATACTTACCATCACTTGCTCTATCAAACTCAACATTTATCACCAATACATCATTACTTACTAATCAACTATTCCATCAGCCCACCCATCACTACTTACCCTCGCT